CACACACACACACACACACACACACACACACACACACACACACACACACAAAGTAGCAGTTACTTGCAGAAACATACAAGAATTAATCATAAAAATGAACATGTGATCATAAAACTGCAAAGAAAAAAAGGTATTTTTTTACTGTAGGAAACATTAAGTAATTTATGAGACTTGAAATGTTTGTTACCTTGATAAGCATCACTCAGTCCATAAAGTTATTGTTTTTTGCATTCTTCCTTGTCATTAAAAGGTGCATGTAGAAACAATTATGCTTAAAAGATCCGTTTCTATCTACATTTCTTTAAAGATGGATTGAAGCTCAGCTCTGCTTGTTGAAACTATATTGTGTTGCTACTTTTTTATTACAGTATGTTTGGGATCATTATTTGTGCAGTGGAACAAATTGGTGACTTATTACCCCCTCGCCTTAAAGGTATATAAACATCTGAAGCATACTCAAAAGGAACAAACTCTTGTGCTTTTAAAACTACTTAATGCACACATTTTAAATCCTGCACCATGTTGAGGGTTTTGCTTCAATGAATCTGCAGTCATTAAAAAAAGAAKAGGAAATCCTTAACTCGAGCTGGTCAACATATCTGATCACTGAGTCACTTTTAGTCTAATATTTGAAATGCTGCAGATGGTTTGTATTGTCCTGCGCCATGACAGCCRCTCACAGTAAGCTTGTAAACCTGTCCTACCTGTTTGTCTCTTTCTCTCCTCCTCCTCTGCTGCTCTCAGCGCTGTAACCCGTCCTACTCCTTGCTGTTGACTTGTCATGACTCGCCTCAGGAAAAGTTACTCAATGTTAATGTTTGACAAGAAGGAAGAAGGGCCTTGGCTTTCATACCGCTCCGGCAGACAACAGAACAACCTTTTACTTCTCCTTCTACTCTGATCCTTTTTCTTTTTTTACTGCTTTCTGAAGATCACTACTTTATAAAGATTGACCAGAGGAAGAGCAAATTAAAAATTACCATGGGTGAGTCAGCTTTTTTTCTAAAACACCAAAGAAATATTTAAAATGATTGTTGTATTTGTTACTGAACTGTAAAAACAGATCCCTTTTGCATGTTCACAATGTACATTGTGTTAGAGGAAATCTTTTTCTAATGTATCTAAAGTAAGACGTGTCTCACTCCAAATGTAGTCTTWTTGGTCAGTAATTTGTACTGTTAAACCTTTAAAGTTTGTAAATTTGCTGCAGGAAAATGCAGACATGAATACGGTTTTTACTACAGCGTTAAGTCTTTATCTTTCAGCGTCGTCTCCAGTGATTTGAGGCTTGACTTAGTTTTGAAGTGTCAGGACGAATCACTGGTGAGGAACAAGTCTAATTTTCTGCCCCATTTGTGGATTCACTGCAGAGGTGCTGGTGCTGATCGACTTTGAGAGCAACATGGATGATGAGCTCACGGTGAGGAAGGGGGATGTGGTGAAAAACGTCACCGTTGCCAACGAAGAAGGATGGCTGCACGGAGAGCTGGAAGGGAAAAAAGGCATCTTCCCTAGCAACTTTGTCCAAGTATGTCGACTCTTTACATCCCGCAATTTTCTAATGTTAGTTTGTGTATTTTTGTTAAATGATTGTCTCACTTTCTTTTCCTCTCATTGCAGCAAATACCAGTATATTTAATGGGCAATGACTCAAGGGAGCCCCGGAGCATCAGAAAAAGTAAAAAACCAAGATTAAGTTCTCATTTTTTTCWTGTGAATATTTGATCTAACTAGAACATGTTCAGTTTGCTTTATACATTTAAATCTAGCTTTATTACAATGTTTGAATGACTGGAAAGTCTACCATCTTTACTAGAAGACACTTCATATAACAAAGTTTACCAGTTATTTGCACTGGATCTCGCTCTCTTTGTAAGAAATTCATGTTAAATTTCAAAGTAAAAAGCTCAAAGACAACCAAGCTCTGGCTTTTTAAATGTACTCAAAGTTACATTTATCTGCCATAACAGCTATATTTAAAACACAAGTGGACTTGATTGTTCAAACTAATGTTTAAACTATTATAAAATACTATAAGAAGATACAGAATAAACTAGTGGATGACAAAGCCATTTGGTTAAAGTTGTTTTTTTTTCTATTTTAATTTCTATGAGCTAAAAAAAAGGGTGTTTGTGATTGTGGTTGCTGTGGTGAATGGTCTCAAACAGTGAGGCCAACAAGCCGACTGTAAATAAATGTTAGCCACATCCGTGCCACACACACACACACACACACACACACACACACACACACACACACACACACACACACA